CAAAATGGCAATATATAAATTTTTGAAACTCAACCACATAATTCTACTCAATTCCTCTGCCTCCCAGAACACGGCACATTCAAGATTGGTTTAATTTCATTCCCTTTTCAAACATGCTACAACGCCATTAATTAATTAAAATATATTATGTACAGAATCCCCCCCTGTATACCGTATATATATACGCTCTCTTAAATACGTACACATGTGTATAAGTACAGGAGTACAATTGTAGAGTCTGCCCTGATATATAAAGTTGGTCATTCCCTTGAATAAAATAAAACTTAAGAAAAATAGATAATAAGTAGAAGAAAATAAATAGTATGCAGTCAATTTCATTCTCAACCGGTTTCTGGGCAGCCGTCTTTTTACAATATTTATTTATTATTTATAGGTGCTCGTGAACTTATTTCGTCAATTTATGTTTGTCACATGCTTGGATTTTCTTGCCAACTCTACCCCTTGTTTTGTTTCTTAATCGTTTGATCACTTGGACATATTCTATTCCCCTGCCAAAATAAGCAACTGACTGATCAGGAACTTGACGTGTGGTTGAAGGAATGGCCTGGTATCAATTCGAGTGTGTAGCTGCTTCATCTCCCTCATCCCTAACGTGACATTTGACATGATGATGAATTTAGAGAATTGAAGGGAGATTAGGAGGATTTTAGAGTGTTGTAGAAGAAAACGGGAAAGAAGGATTAGAATAAGTACATATTATGCAATGGGGTAATCTTCTCTTCGTCCACATGAAAATACAAGCAATGGATAGGTCGAGATCAATTAAAATCCCGCAAGATAAATTATGAATTTGTCAAAGAAAAATAAACATCAATATCTTTATTGCAACTCAATCAATTCAAAATAACATAACTAGAGTTCATCTCATCCAAACAACAAGAGGCTTAGTTCATAGAAGAAGAAGAACTGATCTCCATGGCTGAAAGCATATCGATCTCTCTTAGGGGTCGTTTGGATGGATCAATTGAAAAAACGAGAAAATTAGGCTAATTGTCTCATTTGCAAAGCGAGTCATTTAAAACGAGCCAATTAGAATTGTCTGCCACCCCCACCGTGGAAAATTGTAATTACCTCAAAACGAGTCAATTTGAAATTCTACATGCCAAATTGCTCCATCCAAATTTTATGCTACCAAACGGATCAATCTGACCAAATTTTCTCCAAATGAAACAATTAGGTCAAATTAATCTGTTAGAATTCCTCATCCAAATGACCCTCCAAAGTAGTCAAATCTCAATTTAAATATTAAAATCTTGCAATTTTATAATATTACTTGCATGTTATGATCATGATTTTACAGAACTCGTTCTAGACCATGAATTAAATCGAGTTTGGAGTATATATATATATATATATATATATATATTGCTAAAACGAAAAAGAAAAAGACGCTAAAAGGAAGTGAAAATTTTTATAAAACTCGTTTTGTACTAGAGTAGTGAAGTATTATATACAGACTTAAGAGTTTACTTAGTCATTAGACTTTAAAAATTACTCCTTTAAAATGCATAAGATTTTGTGGTTTGCTCTCAATGTAGTCAAAGTCTACCTTCTAGGTAGAAAAATATTATTGACAAAAGTGGAAGAATAAAAGTGGTCAGTGCCATGCAGGTCGCTACTCTCTATGCACGCTCCAAATTTTAACTACCCCATCTTGAGCAAAAAAATAACTCAAGATAGTGTTACTAGTACAGTTGACCAAGGTCGTATTCCACAGGTCCTAGTATCCTAGGCTACTTAGACTCGGTTGTTATCTCGTCGACATGTTATTTAGCAGGTGGACTATTGGAGATTAATGAACGAGAGGACGATAGGAGAGGAGATGTGCTTGGGGTGCCTTCCTTTCCCTAACCGCTGGAGATAACATGCGAAAGGATAGAAGGATGACCCATGGTAATCGAGGTGCGAAAATCTCTAATATGGGGATTGGCTCAATGGTCAAGCAACCAATCCCCCTCCTACACTGATCCACTAGCCCAATGTCACTTCAGCTAGCTTCACGATGGAGGGATATAACCTCTCTCCTCTAAATGGGTTCTACCTATCCACACACTAGGACGTTAAGTTGATGGTCATGCACTCGATGCCCTAGCATTGCCTAGGTGGATGCCTAATAGGTAGGGGTGCGATCATCTCATCCACCTATTAGACTCCTATGATCAACCATCCAAACCAATCATGCCAAGACCGCTCAATCCACACATGACATATCCTAGACCAAATCCTAGCTAGGCAATCATAGATAGCACATGGAGAGACAAATCCAAAGCATAATAATCATAGATGGAGCATTAAAGCTCTAGGCAAACACAATCCATCCATAAATCACTACTTGATGTAAAGAAAGAACAATCATCAAATAGACATAGATAAATAGGTTCATAATCGTCCATAAATCAAGCCAAAATATCCAATTACATATCAGACTCTAGGTTAACATTTGGGGGACAAAGCCTCGAAAAAAAGGGTCTTCTTGTACTGGAAAATTCTCCTCCCAAGCTTTTCTCTACTTCTTCTACTATTCTTCTCCAACCTTTTACTTCTCTCTCTAACCTCACTCTAGAATAAAATAAAAAAATCTGCCAAAATTCACTTATGAATTGGGGGAAGACCCCTTATTTATACAGTTATGGAAAAACGGACAAGATAGTTAAAAAAACTCGGTGTTATTTTCTTTCTAGTTGCGTTTTGACAATTGAGTCCCACGCTTGAGGCTGTGACCTGCACCAACAATCCTATAATTACCTACTTTGTTATAAATGACGGGGTGAGATGACCTAGTGTGAGAAGGGAAGGAATTGCACAGGCCACGATCATGTTAAAGTTGTGACCATCTTAATGGCTGCGATCTTCATGGGTGTGACACGAACTTGAGGAGGCAATCAGGCAACAATGAAATGGACAGAACTTCTCGCGATCTGAGTCACGGCCAATGAGGGTTTCAGCTATTATAAAGATCACGACAGTGACCTGTAGATCATGGTTGTAATCTCATAATGATGTCTAGGATCTTGGTTGAAAATCAGGTCAAGATGCAAAGTTTTGGGTGATTCAAAGTCATTTTGCCCAGGTCACTGCCAGATTATGGCTATGACCTTTGGACCACACTCTTGAGGATGTGACCTGCACCAACAACCTTATGGTTACCCCCTTTGCTACAATTGAGAAGGAAGAGCTGCGCTAGAGTGAGAAAATAGGATTTTGGGCAGTTTCTAGTGAGAGCAAACAGCTTGGAGGATCTAAGGAAGGAAGAATCCATCCAACATCCAGGAAGAAGGGGGCAAATCACGGAGAAGATAATGATTTTAAGTTGTTTCTCTCTCTAGTTTGTATTCCCTCACTCTATGAATTGAGCCCCTATGGTTGTTTAGGGGAGATGAATTCTAGCATGTAGCTAGGTTTTGTTGATTGAATGAGAACCTAGTCTATGTTTGTGTTCTATTAGAGTGATTTATACTCGTTTCCATGGTTTGAATGCATGAATGGTATATTCACATGTTTTTGTCCTAGGTCGATTCATGTGCGTGTATGTTAGCGTGTTCTACCTAGGTTAGATGATCTAGGATCCTAATTGGCGAACGAGGTGACGATCCCCTTCTAATTAGGACCCCACCTAGCTGATGCTAGTGAGGTGATTGCGTGACTATCGAAGCACCAGACTAGTGTGAGGATGGGTATAACCCGTTTAGAGGAGGTAGACCTTACTTCTAGTTGTGGTGAAATTGGGTCGGTGGACTTGGCTAGAAGGAGGATCAGTGTCTTGACCAATGCATCGGTCCTAAGTTTAGTGACCTTCGAACCACAATGAGCTAGGGTTTCATCAATCGCGTCCCTATCCTGCTAGTTTGGGTACCTCATTTATTTGTGTGTGAAAACTAGGAAAACAAGCAAAAGTCTAGACATCAAGCTTGGATTTTCTCTCCGACGATCATGTTAGCGAGGAAATCTAGAATACACGGTGTAATTTGGGTGGAATGCATTACTTTTGGCGGATTTGAGTAGATCAATTTTATTTTTATAGCCTGACAGGCCAACTACTATCTGAGAACTTATGCTCATTTATAGCCATTGAACTAGGCCAGTTATGACAGTCGTTACCAATCGTTGGTATCCTTGACCTTTAATTGCTTCAACCTTACCAGAACCTGTAGCGTTACTGCAAAGAACCCATGGCTCCACCAGGCATCTCCTTTTGGGGAGAGCCCTTCATTTCTTCTAGGCTTATTGGAAACCCTCATCCAAATTTTGGGAAATTGCTTCATTATAGAAATCTAAGAGAGTTGTCAATTCTAAGATGAATTACAGGAAGTAATGAAACTATTTCTTTGATGGACAAACCTTTGTTTTCCACCTCCTTCGGAGTATTATCTTCAAACAATAAGTTTATGTTTCAAGGAAATCTGGAGAGCAAGTATCTCTGGAAGCTCCCCAAAATTTGTATGCATCTGTAACATGACAAGGTTCCAAAACTATAAAGGGGACAAGATTTCTTACCACAAAATTAGGATCACAATTTATTAGTTCCCCCACGTCACAAAGAGAACCGCTCATTAGCTGGGTTTCCTCATATAGAGCTGCAGAAGAGAGGTAAATCTCACCTTGTCTTGTTCTTCCAGAAATGAAATGTTACATATGCCAAGACAAACCAAGCTCAGGGCAGAAAGGGATAATGCCTTTCCTTTTCTAAGGTAGGGATGAACAGCCATGTGTATATCTTCAGAAAGTTTTAGCAAAAGAAAGGCAACAAAATGCATTGCTGTGATGTAACTGAACCCTCCTTCTGGACCACTGTATATGCTGTCTCTGTTATCTGCTGTAAGCCAAAGCCATGCAATACAATACCCATGTTCTACTTGTCTGCATCTCTTCTAAAGGATAAAACAGTCCCCAGCTTCCTCATTGCTGGTCTCTGTTATCTGATGTAAGCCAAACCCATGAAATTTACCAGAGCTTACAGTTTCTTCAGTCAACAGCCCAGAAGAAGATATAAGTATAAAAAAAAAGTTTTGTATATTTGCCATCTCATTGCTGAATTATTAGCTGCAGTACCATGTACCACGCTAACATATATAGAAGAAAAAAAAGAAACCCTCGCAAGAAATCAGCTAATAGTAAGGCCCTACATCCTGATTCCCGACCTTAGGATACATACTATGGTACGTTACAATTTACAATATACGATGTGATACGATACTGATCAACGACCATTCTGTATGGGGAAACACGACTAGAGCTCGGTGTGAACAATTTCCTGAAAGGTGGCTTCTGAAACTTCAATAATATCAGATGTGGAAGTGTAGTCCTTGTCGTGGGAGGTTAGGCAGTCGATCGAAGGATGAACAACGCCATATCCAAAGCCTTGAGCAGAGTTGCAGTAAGTCTCTACAGTGCCATCTTTCCCCTCTAAGTTGACGTTGCTCAGGACTATGTTGCTGCAAGGTACTGTGTCACTGCATGCAAACTTCATGGCTTTCGGACTTTTGGAAGTCCCACTGATGTTTCGGTACATGATCTGGCTTATCTCCACTGCTGCTGTCTGGTGTATATACATAAGGGTACTTATTATTGGAGGATCAAAAGAAAAATGCAAATTTGATCAAAGGCTCCGATTGTCACAAATGCAGAAATGAGATTCCTTGAAGCCTACACACACACGCACAAAAAATGTACCTGGTTTTCACAGGACTTGGGCGAATCACAATAGAACTGGTCAATGATGATGGGGTTGGCTACATTCTCCATCTCCACGTTTTCATAACGTATCCCGCGCACATAACCATGACCACCCTATTAATGAGAGAATAGTCGAGATTACTGCCTCGAGTTTTTGGCATCAAGGGCGCTATCGAAGCATTAAATTAGAGTTTCGATTGTTTCATTTCTGTACCTGCCAAGTCTTGATCCTGAGGCCATTGGTCGTCTCCCGGAGCAAAGCTGTGTCGAGAACCACTTTTGTGACAATGTCAGTGGAGTTGTCCTTTCCAAGGCTCCCGATGCTAAGTAAAGTTGCAGCGAGAATAGAAGAAGAAAAAAACCTGTTAAGCATAAAGCTGACTTCTTTAACCGTTGGCGTAGAAAATTTAAATGTAAAAAATTGGATGATACCTGATGCCATGTCCTGGTCCGCAATAGAGTCTCTTCATTTTGATATTGGAGCTACCGTTGACAATTGAGACACAATCATCTCCTGAATGTTGCAAGTGAAAACAGAGAGGAAATTAAACCTTTCAGTGCATATTTCTATTAGCATACTTTGGTGTCTATGAAAGCTAAGGAATTAGCTGCACTCCCTAGTAAACTTTTAACTAATTAACTAATGAATATTCGGCATAAGAAAGTCACACACATGGTTGGTTAAATGGTTGAAGAAGAACAAACCTGTTCCGATTTTGCTATCTTGGAGAACAACATTAGTGGACTCAGTTATGTGGATCCCATCTGTGTTGGGGCTGTCTCCAGGAGACGAAACTAGCACATTAGAAATTCGGACAGAGTTACACCGGGTAATCACAAAATTCATCTGTTGACTGTTCTTGATGGTTATCCCTGTAACTTTCACACCAGTGCTTGAATCAATAGTTAATGCCTGCAAAAGAACCATCAACCATCATTTTCTGACCCCTTAACTGCTACTAAACTGGATACTTCTAAGTCATTGATGTTTGTTTCAATGAGCTGTTAAGAAATCCAGTTGAAGTGAGAAAGAGCCGTACAGTTGGTGCCCCTTTGCAAGGCTGCAGATAAAACAGAGAGAGAAAACTGGATTAAGATTACTACATTTGGTTGGTCAACTGAATGAAAGAGGAAACAAGAAAACCAAATTGAGAAGAAATACAAGTAGTTAGTGGATCAGTAGACTTACATTTGACTTGTTCTTCTTACAAGAAGCAGCCCACCACTTGCTGCCTGAGCCATCAATGACTCCATTTCCTAGAAAGATAACCCCATTCAGCTTGCTAAAATCAAGCCATAATCTTGCAAGCTTTGGATCCCAGTTTGCAGGTTCATCAGGTGCCACTATTGTTCCATCAATCTGAAAATCATAGTGCAAGTAAACACTTGATGACGATGATCATGCAGTTACTACTTGACAACTTCTACACCAAACTCCCCATCTCATGGCACCAATAGTAACAATCCTGAAATGCAATCCAACAATAGTAGTTTATCTGAATGAGCGTCCAAAAGGAAAGTACCTGAATGATTAGCTTATCCGCACAAGGTCCTTTAAATTTTGTTGCATTTACTAAATATTGACGACCTGGAGGGACCAAGAAGACTGCTTTTGTTGTGTTGCACGCCGTGCTCCAAGCATTCACAAATGCCTGGTGATGAGGAAATAAAACACATTCAACTCTTAAGGAACCAATGTCAATACCAGGAAAGCGGAAAATTGTTCATTGTTTAACTGAACTGGATTATTTTATAATCCAATTTCCGTCATTGAGTAACATCACATTGTTAAACCAGATGACAAACTGAGGAATAACAGCTGATGAGCGATGAGTGGCAACCTTCATATTCAAAGCCATGGTCCATTCATAAGCATTCAAATGGAGATCTAGAGATGAAAGATGACATCGGAAGACAATAAAAGGAGCACAATTCAAGAATACAAGAGAGATTACTAAACAGACCTTAGTGTCATCAGAAACTCCATCTCCAACAGCGCCAAAGCTGTCAACGTTCACAAGAACTTGGCCTCCGCGTTCGCTTGTCCATGAAGGTACATCAAAACCTTCCACCCCATCTTCAATGTCAACGGTTTCAAGATCCTCAAGCATTCCAAGTTTGTCATATACCATGTTTCCTGCAACTCCATGGCCCACAATCAGCAAGCAAAGGAAAGAAATGAGGAATTTCCGGTCCATGATTTTTGTTTTGGCCTCTTCTGCTTGGTATGGGAAACTTAATTGATTTGCATAATTCTGAGGAAAAACATATAGTTTCAATTTATATGAATAGATTAGATATGGAAATACAAGTGGTTATGTGGGCTAATGGCTTGGCTTGAAAGTACATGAAGAACCAACATTTTCTACATGCCCACACTTAAAGTACAAGGGAAATGTATTTTTAAACTTCTTTGCTTTACTCTTCAACCAGTAAAAAGAGACCATTCAACCAGTTCTTTAGATTCTGCTTTTGGCTTCTGTCAGTTCTCCATTTAAGGCCAAATATAAAATACATTCCCAGTTGTGGTTCAGAAATAAAAGCACAATCTCAATTGAAGTTGACAGGTCAATTGCTCCATTGGGACCCAATAGGCCACCGCAGTAGTATATCTCAAGCAAAAGTAACCTTTTTTTGTTCGTGTATAAGATAAACACACACAACACACACACAAACAGAAAAAATAATTTACTCACAGGGAAGGGAGGGTCCAGCTTCACGAACAGAAAGTTGAAGTATGCAGGGAGAAGATCCAAGACCCTCAAAGCTAACTAACTGCTGACAGCTAACTTGTTTTCAATAAATGGTCGATCATCTTATTCATCCTGTCGACAGCTATTGACCTCAACAAAACTGCGACCAGTAATCCGCCTTGTCATCGTCCTTCGTATACCAGTTTCTCTTATCTCCATTGACAAATCATATTCCCCAATGTAAGCATAGTAGTTTGATACCTGCAAATAGACAGCAAAATCCCTTGGTTCAAGATCCAACAAGACCTTTGCCGCCCTTCTTCCCACCATTTCGTTCTTATGATTCCTGCAGCTTTGCAGCAATGAACTCCACATCACACAATCACCAATTCCAGGAGCCTGTTGCAGCAACTCCTCCGCTTCATTCAACCTACCAGCACGCCCCAATAGATCCACCATACAGGAGAAGTGCCCTCTATCAGGAGATATCCCGTACAGAAGTTTCATCACATCAAAAGCCATTCTACCTTCTTCAACCAATCCAGAGTGGCTGCATCCAGTTAAGGCACATAAGAAGGTTACTTTATCAGGTGTCAGTCCTTTCAACATCATCTCTTTAAGAATCTCTAGCCCCTCCGTTCCCATTCCATTATGAGCATATCCACTTATCATCGCAGTGCAACAGATGACATTCGGCGAGGGAAGTTGTTCAAACACCTTTCGTGAGAGTTCAATGCAACCGGACCTCGAGTATGCATCAATCAAGGAGGAAGAAACGGCAACATCAGTTTCGAAACCTAGTTTTAAGGCACAACAGTGCACCAAACTGCAGCTGACCAAGCACGAGAAACCAGACTGTGATAAAGCTTTCAGCACCGTAGAAAATGTAATCTCATCCAGACCAGTTCCTTCATCAACCATTAAACCAAACATCTCACAAGCATCCTCGACAATGCCACAGTGGAGTAAAGAGATAATCAATGTGTTGCAACACTCCAAAGTTTTATCAGAGACATATCCATAAACAGACACTGAACTCTCAATATCCCTGCATTTCCCATACATATCAATCAACGCAGATTGAACATGGCAACTCCCCACAAGAAACCCGACTTTAAAGACCCAGGAATGAATTTGCTTCCCAAGCAGAATATCTGTAGTTTTGCTGGAAAAATTCAAGAACCCAACGAAGGACCGAATGGATGGCCTCTTCCCATGAAATTGCATTGTATGAAACAGTTCAACGGCTTCAAGCACTGATCCATCATTTACAAAAGCTGCCAACATTGAATTCCATGACAAAACATCTTGAGCTTGAATAGTTTTGAAAGATCTCTTGGCATCAGAGAAAAGTCTACAAGCTGAGTAAAAATCCACCAAAGCATTAGCGACGAAAATGTTTGATTCTTCCCATCCAGCCTTGACCACATGGCAATGCAGCTTTTTCCCTTCGTTGGAAAACCTCTCGTCACAACATCCACGAATCAAATAGCAAAAAGTAACCCCATTTCCCTCCACCCCTTCCAGTCTCATCCTATTATGCAGTTTCAACAACAACTCATCACATCGACCCAGTTCAGAAATCCCACGCAAAACCAAATTCCATGTGGCTAAGTTTCTCACAGGCAATTCATCAAACAAACCTAAACCTAGATTCTCAAGTCCTACATGCATGTAAAGACCAACCAGTGAACTCCCAACAAACACATTACAACCGAACCCAAGCTTAACCACCCTACAATGGACCTGAATCCCTTCCCAGAAAAACTTTGCATCATCGCTACATATACTCAACACAGAGCAAACCGTCGATTCACTCTCTCTGATACAGTGAGAAACCATCTCGTGGTATAGCAACAAAGCATGCTGTAAGACACCGTATTTACGATGCCCAGAAATCAGCAAATTGTAAGAGACAACATCCCGTGTAGGCATTTCATCGAACACCTCCTGAGCAACCACAAACTGCCCCGATTTTATCAAGCTATCAACTTTCTTGTTTAGGAAATAGACAACCTCGTGAGGGTAGGGTTCACAGTACGATTCCACCTGCAATCTAGCGGCTGACGGCGGATTCTTGGCTCCTAAGGTTGTGATGGTTCGCACACCAAAAGGCAGCAACTTTCTGCCTTTCATGGCCGCTGTGGCTTCTAATACAAAATAACGCACGTGATATGCCCATAACATGTTCTCGGACTCCAATCATCAACCTTAAATATCCAGAGTCCGCAATCCCAATGGGACAAACAACCCAATTTGCCGCCACCCGTGCACAAATCAGAGGCAACGATTTCAACACAGAGAACCGTGTACGTATCAGCGCTTTCTAGAGAAATAGCGTCGAGAATTGCAAGAGACCGTCCCGAGTAGGCATTTCATCGAACACCCCCGAGTAGGCATTTCATAGGCATCTCATCGAACACCTCCTGAACAGCCGCAAACTGCCCGGGTTTTATCAAGCTATCAGCTTTCTTGTTATACAGAGAGAGAGAGAGAGTGTGGTTCTGGATTCAGACGAGAAATCACAAGAAAGAGGGGAGCTTTAACAATGGAAACTAGCTATCTTTTGCTTTTTATTATTACGATGGTGAGGCAACAAAGCCGATTTTGCTTGGCACCTCAATATGACATAGTACAACAACAACCCATACAAGCTTCGGGAAACGATTAGAGCGAGCTTTTCCAATGGGATAAGGCATATTATTAACATGTTGATCCTATAGCCTCGACAACAGAGGCCACGAATTGCATCTGGGTTTCCTCATCAATTCTCGAGAAAAGTGGGACATGAACAAAAAGGGATCTGTGGCCCTTCTGCTGGGTATACCGCAGGGAGTGGTAGTACACGTAGTTGCACACAAATCGGCCAGCATCGTCCGATATCGTCACGTCGAAGCCCTTCTTCTTCAACAACTTCAGGATTTCATCAATGGAGCAACAAGTCTTCTCCAACCCAAAACAGATAAGAAGAAAACCAGAGTGAGTTTAGGAGGAAAAACAGAATAGCATGAAGTTAGCGGGTGGTAAAATTGAATACCTCTCTTGCAGAGGTAGTTCCTCCATCTTCCAGGATGATGGGGCAGTTCTGAGTAAGAAGTTAACGAAAAAAATGTTAAAATAAGTAAGCATCAGAAGTGTAGGACTAGAAATAGCAATTATATGAGACCGAGACTTAGAATCGGACTGAGAAAAACAGCAGTCATGTACCTGAGGTTGCCATCCCATCTCATCTGGACATCGAAATGTGGCTTCGTTCACTGCCTGTCGCTCAATGGCGAATCTCATTGCACCACTGTTCACTCCCAAGTGAAGCTGAATAAGTGAACATTAAGAAAGATGTTGAGCATTATTTTCCGCAAAGCTGTAGAGAGAAAGCAATGATGAAGGGCAATTAAGTAAGATGTTCACTCCCAAGTACAGACCCAAACAACAACTGGCTCATTCTTTTCAGCATTCATAGTATTATTTGCAGTGCTCGATTCGAGGGTCTGGTAGAGCATGTCACGAGCTCCATCTCCAGCAGTTTCAAGAACCATGCAGCTCCCTAGGGTAACGCCAGCGGGCAACCCTCGCTTTGCCACATAATCCTTGAGCTTATTCACTATAGTCTCCGTGGGATTCAGGGCAACCCCTTGAAATTTCTTAAATCCAGTTACATGAATCACTACAGCCTTTGGTCCTTCGGATCCCATCTCTTCGTGGGCAAGAAGAGCACAGTTACCAATTTTCTTGCCGATGGTAGGTCTAGCACCTCAGCCTACAAACAACAAAGTTGCATTTGGCATCAACACGTTATAATTAAAAAAATCTAACCTGAGAAACAAAAATGTCCCATCTGGGTAAAGAATATAAACTAGAGCAAGATCCCAGTTTGGCCAAAGAATCACTGGGAGGAAAACCACATGTTGGATGCTGCTTCCAGGAACCACTCATCCAAATATCATGCAATAAGTTACTCCTATTCGATCTCAACAGTCATCAGATCAATGATACGAACAACTGATAACAACAAACAATGATCGGGTACTCAGGAAATATGCAAAAGGAAGAGCTTAAATCCTAAACCCTCGATCACAATTCAACTTGTTTCCTATACTAAATTCACAGGCAGTAATTCAACTCCTGAATCAGAAGAGCAAGATTTCCCTTTCTCCTTCCAACATAAACGACAAAAAACGCTGAAGAAACCTCCTATCAGAAACCAGAATTCAACTACACAATCAAGAGAGAGCTTAAAAAAATGATTCAACTTTACCGCGGAATTCAGTGAGAAAGCAGAACCCTTCTTGAAGGAGAAAAAGAAAGAAAGTAGGAGAGAGCCAAGCTCGTCCTTTGGACCTCAAATGGCGAAAGAGGAGACGACCCAGCAAACGCAGGTAGCTAAAGACCGACAAGACACAGTACAAAAAAGCAAGGGGGGCGAGGAAGTCTTCTTCCTGTGGCCTAGTCTAGTGTTTGTCTGCACTCCTCCACTCCTTCGTGCTTTCTGGAATCCACAAACTTCTTTGCCGTACAAACACAAAACATCTATCCCAATTTACAAATGGAGGAAATCAATAATTCTTTGCGTTTTGATAAAGGGAAGGGAAAGGAGTAGGACAAACCGTTTGCCAATCCCACTTTCTCCTTTTCCCGTGAAACCAACCCACAGCAATTTCATTCCCGTTTCTGACTTACGTATTAGCTTCTTCCGCCAAATTTCCTTGTTTTTTCCTCCAAAGAAATGCAATCCTCGTTTTCTAATGCTTGGATTGGGATTGATCATTGAGCGGTGGAGTACTCTGTACTGTAGTGGAGGAGACCGGCTGGAACTGGTGGTGCAACGTGGCTGGACTTGATTAGTATTTGAAAAAAAATTCAAAAGTACCATTGTTTAAAAATTAAATTTCAAAAATACCATCCAACCCAAAAAATTCCAAAAATACCACTCTTTTTCAAAAATCGTCACCCCACCCTGCGGTTGACACGAAAACCGCAGGGCGGGGGCGCGGTTTTCTATGCAAACCGCTGGGCTAAGGGGCGGTTTGGTCCAAAAAAAAAAATTCCGATCAACTCCTAACTTCGGCCGAAACTTCAAACGAACGTAACTTTGCACTCGGGTACCCGATCGTAGCGATTTTTTTTCATTTCGCATAACTTTTCAAGATCTACAACTTTTACTAGGATGAAATTTTCAAAACAGGAATTAGTTGTGGATATACGGGACCTTGGGAATAACTTTACCTTTACTTTTCAAAAATCCATGTACTTTTCGAAATTATGATTATCTTAAAAGTTGTAGATCTTGAAAAGTTATGCGGAATCAAAAAAAATTCATGACATTCGGATTTTGGAGCACAAAGTTATGGCCGTCCAAAGTTTGACGAAATCAAAAAAAGGCTCGTTCGGGGTAGCAAATGATGTTTTTTCGAGACGAAGGCAGGACCAAAGCGCCTACGACATTTGAGACTTGCAAGATCTCGAAAAGTTATTTGGATTAAAAAAAAATCTCTACGATCGGATACCCGAGTACAAAGTTACGTTCGTTTGAAGTTTCGGCCGAAGTTAGGAGTTGATCGGGGAAAAAAATGGACCAAACCGTTGGGTAGGTGGCGGTTTGGCCCAAAACCGCCACCTCACCCAGCGGTTTTTATAACCGCCCCTTAGCCTAGCGGTTTTCGTGTAAACCGCAGGGTGGAGTGGCGATTTTTGAAAAAGGGTGGTATTTTTGGAATTTTTTGGGGTTGGGTGGTATTTTTGAAAAAAAAATTTAAACAGTGGTATTTCTGGAAAAAGTCCTAGTATGGCCCTGTTCACTTCTATTTTCGTTTCTTTAGTTCGGTCGAAATAGAGAAGAAATCATGTCATAAAACATATGTTTGGTTCGAGCGAGAAACCACGACATTTTTTAAGGGATTTCTCTTTTCCAACCGTATCTAAGTTTTTCTTATAGTATGAGAGCAATCGATGTAGGTTGGTCACTCTGACGATATCTTACTAGCAAACATCATCATCAAACACTGGCGAGTCCTGGATCCAATCAGTTGGGTGGAAATGACTCTAGTTTTCAACTTGGATCCAATGGTTTGATTAATAAGCAATTGCTAATTATGAAGCCACTGTCAACAGTTTCTAATGTCGTCGACGATTTATTGCATATGAACAAGAAATCAAGGTTAATGGAAGTAATAAGAAGGTTCAAACCTTGACATTGGTCGTAATCATTAATACTCCAATGAGTCTAAAGAAAGTGATCATGGTCAAGTTTTCGCAAATATAGAAGATTGAATAAGGAACAATTAGAGGAAGTTAGTCCACAAGTTGGAACCCTAAAATATGTTGAATATGTATCTCAATGAAGTTCAAGTGGAGACACAAACTGAAGTTGGATATAGTAGTGAAGGAAGCAATGTGAGTCATATTGCTCTTGGATTCACTCGTGAAGAGATGAACTGTTTGTACCTAGTAGATACTAGGCAGTTTGTAGGACAGTGACGATGTGTCTGTTCTTGGAAGGAGGGTGCACTCTCGATCCCTGCAAAATAAGGGTCCGTGGGCGGTTGCCCGGGACACTCTTCAATGCTTAAGTTAGACAGAGAAGTGTATTGTAATGTGTTTGTTCTAGAGAGAGAGAGAGTAGTTGAGTTTACCATCAATGCTCTCATGGTGCATTTATACCTGGTGTGGTGGTGGTTGAGTCATTTAATGTTACGTCAGGCGTCTCTGTCAGGCCTGCTCCCTAGGTGGACCGCCTGCGACGGGCAATAAATGCTCAGTCTTACCTAGCCCGAGGTACGTATCTCAACGGATCTTTGCTTTCTGTCATGGTCAGTCACTTTATGTCAGGCGGTTCTGGCCACTCCTTGGGTTTAGAGTCGGCCTAAGACCGCCTGTCATCCTGGTCTCCATGGTCGGGCCGGATATTCTATTGGGCCTAGTCCGTTGGCACTCACCTCTTGGGCCCCTAGGCCCAAGACCGCTCAACTACGCGGCCCAACAATACTCATATGCATGCTGCAAATTAGTGCTAACATCACTGTACCCAACAACAACACGCTTCAATTCTCACAAACTTCAACTTGTATATGTGATAGACCGTCATTTACACATGTTTTTACCCCCGTTCTTACACCGTTTGAGGTGTTGATTCTCGTGTTTTAGGCCGATTTCACGCTAGGTTGTGCTTGTTTGTGACATTTCAGGTCCTAGTACGTGAATGAAGGCTTGGGAGCGAGTCTGGGGTCGATTGGACGAAGATCGGACGAATGGCGAGGTTTCAAGGAAGCTGCACGGGCAAGCCAGGGCATCACACGGCCGTGCAAGTGAGCAAGGTGGCCGTGTGCTTTTTGCCGAGGCCACGCACGGGCAACCCATGAAATTCACACGGTCGTGCTAAGTGCAATTCTGGCCGTGTGATATTTGCCGAGGCCAAGCACGGGCTGGATGGAAATCCTACACGGCCGTGCGACCCTGGCCGCGTAGGAAGCCTGAAGACCGAACTTAATGGGACGCCGCGTTTTGACTCGCACGGGCAAAGTGGTGAGCTACACGGCCGTGTGGCCTGCCCGTGTGAGTCGGGAAATTTTGGTTTTAGAGCCAATTCCGAGCAAAAAGTGGGAGAATCGTATTTAGAGAGCAGAAATAGAGCCCTAGAGAGAGAAAGTACGAAGAACACATCCTAGAAGCTATCTTGGAGCTGGGTTTCATCGAATCAAGCTTGGAGATCGTCATAGGAGTGGAAATCATCGTCCCGGAGCAGATTTTCCTCATCATTATGAGTATGACTAATCCGATTACTGTTTTCTCTTCTCTCTCTATGGAGTAGAACCCTTCTCTCACTTGGGTATGAAGAACCCTAGTTCCTTGTGTTAGGGATTTGATTGTAATGACTTGGGATGATATTACTGTTTGATTTTAATCGAATGATACATGTTTATTGAATTGATTGGAGTCTGATCAGCTTTTCTCGATTTTCGCTGCAACCTGAGATAGATAGAATCTGATTAGGTTGTTAGAGCCTCTTCATTCGATAGTAGGAGATTGGCTATACGAGAGTTAGCCAGTTTACTGCTTTGTACTGGAATTGAATTCCAGTAGTGGAGTTCTGTGTTCATAGCCTAAGCTTTCTATCCCGGTGAAGGTTAGTCGCCTGTCGGGTAGTTGGACTGAGAGGGCTTGGTCAGCTTAAGAGATTCCAAGCTACTGTCGGATCTTCCGCAGTCTAATCAACAGTAAATCAACCCAGGGGAATTACAATTGAACCTAACTAAGGGGCTAGGGGGACTCAATCCCGAGTGACTCTTTCCTGACTTTGAAAACCGAACAATTTACTGCTTTCTTACTGCTTTTGCTTTTAACAACAATCACTCGAATTAGTTTGCTTGATAATAGAGAATCACGGAGTAAGCAGTAGATCTAGACCCCGGGTTGATAATATAACTTGCCTGTTACTGCATTCCCGGGCTGCGATTACACTTGGTCGCAGTTTGGTGTTGTGTTTTGGCGTGTCAATATGTCACCAAGCATATTACGTTTCCGATATTTATCATATTTTCAAAAATACTCGAGTAAATATGTCATTTCTCTTTGTTCCAGCCATGACAGTAACCATCTAATGAATTTTTTTAATCTTAGAAACAAGTGCATCATATTACATGTTTGGCTCTCTTGAACTCTATTTGTGTTAGTTATAGAGAAATTGGGAATGTTTTTGTTCATCTCCCAATTTCCACCAAGCTCTTCTTAGTTACTCATGTAGAGTCTGTCAAGCTACCTTCTGTTATTTGTACAATGTCCTTCTTGTACCTAGTTTTCGCTCTAATATGGTGTTTACAAGTCGTCTCGCACATGATTTCCCTTTAGCCTTGCACTTTCATTCTAATCTTAGTAAAACTCTGAACTTTCTAAATACGACGATAATTGGTTTAGCAAGAGAAAATAACTATCAGCTTACCTTTCCCAAGCAACCACATAGTAAAAAAAAAAAAAAATCAACAGTCGCAAGCAGCCACCCCATCAATTTCAACTCACCCCAAGTTGACCATTGACTTTGAAGATTAGGACATCCTAGTAATTATAGGATTTTATTTTCCAAAATATTGATTCCTTTGTAACCAATTTTAGAGTTGATCATTATGATATATGTCATCTACACAAACATAAAATACTTATTATCCCTATTGCATTAATGATGCAACTGAAAATTTTCTATTGATTTATGTTTAATATGTAGTGCCTTTTATTATTGTCTCTTATGATGGATGTGGTAATTTCTTTACTTGATTGTTCGTGAGTTGTATCGGTGTATCTTATGAAACATCAAAGTGAAACAAGGTTTAGCCATTCAATTGCTGAGGATTGCTAATTATCGCCCCTGTGATTTACTTTAATTACCCTAACTTACAAATAAAAATTACATTTTTATCCTTTTCTTTGTTTATTATTAAAAATATATTACTTTAAACAAACAACGCATAAAAAATAGTTGGCCATTGGAAATATTACCCCACCATTTCCCGTTCCGGGAAGGAGGGAAATTTCAACTCTCACCGCTTATCTTCTTCAAACAAGGGTTTATTCCGACGGAAGCAAAGTAGAGAAGACAAACAGAGAGAGAGAAAAAAAAGGAGATGTGTGCCCTCGTTTCGCTTTTGCATTCCCTTCCTGCATCTCATTTTCAATTCAATAGGGTACTAGGGCTATGGTCGGGGGGAGATAACGGTGTTAATCTGG